CTCCAAGCTACATCCAAAATTCCATATTTATTTTGCAAGCATTCAACTGTTCATAATATTCTTCTGAAATAGAAATTAAAAGTAATAAATTAACGGCAGGCTAATTAGAATGGATTCAATGTATATTTATGTAATGAATGAAAAAGATTCGAAGGAGAAGAGCTTGAAAGGTAATATGGGTAGAAGTTGTACACCTTGAAAAAATAGCTGTGCATTTGGTGAATTTTTATATGGTTATTGTTGTGTTTTATTGCTTTAGCTTAATGATATGTTGAGATTTATTTTGTCATATCATTATTTTACAGATCAAATCCTGTGCAGGCAGAATCACAAGCTGAGTTCTCCCAATGGCTATGTCATGTGCATAACATTGTAAACAGAAGGTAAATATTCAAGTTAGTTTATCCTTATACTTATTTTAAAGGAATATTTATGTACATACCACTCAATTCCTATGTATTTACATATCTAAGACTTGAACTTTAATTTTTATATACATGCCCCCTTACCTATGCATGTGTATACATCAGAAATATTGACATGAATCTCAAAGAGAATGAATGACCTAGATTAGAGAGCTTCCCTTTGAGGTAAGTAATCAACCGACAATTCAATGAAGAGCATGAGAAACCGCATCTCCGAGCCCGGGATAGGTCCAAGCTCCGAAGATGGTTCCCCGCTCGGTAGAGGCGAGATATGTCGAAAGTGAGGCGTAAATCATCCCAGCAACGAGTCTCGTCAGATACCTCACATAGGTGGCGACAAGACCTTGCGAGATAGGGAAATCCGGCCGAGACGACTAACCTAGCAATGTGAGACATAGGTCATGTAAGGCTCGAGTGGAACGAGCTAGATCGCCATACAGCTGAGCGACCTGGGACGAGCTAGATCGTCATATAGCCAAGCACCTCAACCGATCGACACGCATTTTGAAAGACACAGTCGCTACTGGATCGGTCGTCTCAATCAGTCGAGCTCAAACAAATCGGCTCGCCAATTACTACTATGTTAAAATTCAAATGACACCTACCCCCGGACAAAGATTGACACCTTAGTGGACGCAACTAGCTCATGCTCAGATACTTGGTCTCGCCTCCCCGCTGCTCTGTGATTCCGAGGGGTTGGTGCTCCCCCCTGCTGATCTCCCAATTTGGAGATCTATCGCTGGCGAGGGTCGGTCAGTTGATGAACTGTAGGGGCCAAAAGTGGCAGAAGCCCAACATCTATGATTTGCGAACCAACCATCGCATCAAGAGCGGATTCTGCAACATATTTCGACGTCACGCCACCCTGGCGATCCTTCGAGCTGACCAATTCGTCTATGAATCTTTCTAAGGAAGAAAGAGTCTTAAAGGCTCTCTCACCCTATTGCGCTGTGATGCCCCCACTTTCTTGTGGCAGCGATTGAGGAAGGATTTGAGACAACCGCTCCTTGTAGCTTCTTTCCTCTCGCCTCGGCCGAAAAGATCTGCTAGGCCTCTTTGTTCAAGCTCAGGCCAGACTTCAAAACCTCTTGGCGAGGCCTCCTCAATGAGTAACCTTCAGTGTCATCAGATGAGTCAACTACATCGACCAAAATTAGGCTTGACGCTTGCCTGTTTTTCCTTTGTCACCACTTTCTTCCTCTTTGTGGAGGAAGAGATCTGAAACCCCGCCTTCGCTAGCCTCTGAGGATCCACAACGATCTGGTTCGAACCGTCAACCATAACGCTCATCAGTTGTCAAAAAAGAAACTGGCGACAAATAATACAATCCTCAATTCACGCCCATTTATAGAGCACACGGAGCACGAAATCCAAAGGGAAGTCAAATGTTCAATCTATTTATGATTTGAATGTTAACGATTAATTAATAAAGTTTTTTGTCCTTATTGTAGATATCGCTATCAAGGAACAGGGAAGCTCGGGGAACTAATATGTATATACTAGAAATACCGGCACGAATCTCAAAGAAAACGAACAACCGAGATAAAAGAGCTCCCTTTCAAGGTACTCAATCAACCGACGATTCAACGCCGAGCATGAGAAACTGCATCTCCGAGCTCGGGATAGATCCAAATTCTAGAGATGGTTCAACGCTCAGTAGCAGCGAGATCCGCCGAGAGTGATGCGTAAATCATCATGTCAGTGAGTCTCATCGTATACCTCACATAGACATCGACAAGATCCACCCAAGCCCATGCGAGATAGGGAGATTCGGCCGAGGCGACGAACCTACTGGACATGCAAAACACAGGTCTTGTTAAACTCGAGTTGAACAGCTAGTGAGCCACGATTCACCCCACCACAGTTGATCGAGCGACCCTAGACGAGCAAGATCGCCATACAGCCGAGCGCTTTGACCAACCAACACACACTTCGGAACGCACATTCGTCACTCAACCAGTCGCCTCAATCCGCCGAGCTCAGACAAGTCGGCCCACCAATTGTCACTATTTTACAATTCAGATTGTAATACAATTATGGTATAAAATACATGTAATTAATTAGAACATCATGTTGAGAACAGTTTCTATAGTGGTTCCCTTCTTGTAATTGTATAAAATGCACTATTATAAATAGGAGAAAAAAATATGAAGAAAGGAGACTCTCCCCCCTGATTATCTCGACAGTAAACTTTTGGCCGAATCTACTATCTTTTTTCTCATTCGCTCAGCTTTTAACTTTCAAAACATGTTCGCAAAATATAACCTGGGATCCAACAACGAGAAAAATTTATATTTCACTTTTTTGAAAGTTAAAATGGTGGTACCTTTGATTTGATATGAAAGATGTGGATGGTAGAAATGCAAAGGGTAAAGTTTTGGTGTTAGATATGTAAATGCATGGGAGTAGGGTGATATGTATGTAAATGGCCCAATTATTATTTTGACTGAGCTTTTATATTAAATTTTGCAGTTTAGGAAAACAAATATTTCCATGCCAACGAGTAAATGCAAGGTGGGGAAAACTGGATTGTCTTGATCGTTCTTGTGATCTTGAAGGCAGCAACAACTTGAGTTTTCCTCTGTAAAGCGCAATTATGCCTCAGAATCATTTATTGAGCAAGAAAGAAACAGAAAGAAAAGAATGTGTGTGATTGAGACCTTTCAATCTTTTGAGTAGCACTTTTTTATAATTTTTAGTTTTTCCTTATAGCATTTAATGATATAACATAAACCAAAGTTATTTTTGATTTTATTATATTATATTTTATGATTCCATGAGTTCTAAGTTTGTTTTTTAGAATAATTTCTCAGGTTGTTAAGATGAGTTGTTTGATTAGGTTTGTTTGGGGCGGCACCTGGTGCCGCACCATACTGTTGTTTTGTCTGTTTGGGCAAATTGCATTTTGACAATCTTTTTAAAAAATTATTGCTATTATGGTGGCAGTTTTCTAATTTCGGTCTGATTTTTTCACTATATATATATATATATATATATAACCACGATAGCTTTTTGAACATCAAATTATTCTTTAGTAGTTTCACGATTGATTTCTAATAAGCTGCAATTGTCCCAAACAAACCCCACGGGTGATGCTGAATGCGTGGAAATAAGTATTTTGTTTAGAAAATTGGAAGCTTACATATATATCACTCATTTATTATGTATTTACATATCTAACACCTAAACTTCAATATTTACATATATGCTACTTGTATATGAAAAGACATTTCACAATTTAAAAATTAAAGGAAGATTAAAGCATTTGTATTTTTTATGTGATATGAAAGATTTCAATTGTATAAATGTATGAAGATATGTAAATGCATAGGAATTGGGTGGCATGTGTAAATATCCATAGAAAAATTTTTTAAAAGTTCGAGCAGGAAGTCACTGTACAGTGGGATCTTCTGAACATTCATCAATAATCAATAAAAATAACTCATGTTTCCCAAACAAATTTATTCATAAAGCATGTAGCAAAATTTTCAAATTTGTAATATTTTATTAGCAACTGGCATTATTTACTGACAAATAAAGAGTGAAGGGCTAAAATAATTCCCTGGCTACTTATATGAGGCCATTACAGTACCACAATTTATAAAAGTGTTAAAAGTAATTCCTAAACTCTTTTAATTAAATGAATGTGAAAGTTTGTACAAGGGTAGGCAGTTGTTGCCATGGACCAGCAACTAGGAAGAAGCTTAGCGTCGATTGGAGTGTTGGGTGAGGTGTTGAGTTTGGCATGTGCCTGCCTAACGTCGCCTATAAATTCATGTCCATAGAAGATATGCTGCATTGAGGTTTTGCGAGGGATCTGTCATGACTGCCATGCGCGAATTCACCGTGACGATTCATTGCAACCGCCATGTGTGGATTCAACACAACAACCACACAACACCTTTGGAATTTCGAAGTCTGATGGAGATTGAATTTGAGTTTCGAAGGTCTTGCCGGATGAATTTAGAGACAAAAGAGTTAACAGAAGTGTGAATTTCGTAACAGTAGAGTTTAGGATGTGAGATATGTAAATAGTAATGTTTTGTATGCTATGAATGTAAAAACCCCATAAATTTATGATTCACTTCAAAATTTCAGGCTAGCTCCTGACATTCAACCAAGCTACAAAATCTGATATGTAAATATGTTTTCTAACTCCAAGCAACTGAATAAGCACTAAGACTTACCAAAAATCATTGAGTTCCCATGCACATAGAAAGCATAATAAGCACGAATATCAAAGTTGTAATTAAGAAAAAGACCTATAAACATGATACAGGCAAACGGTAGATTATTAAGCAGATGAGGATCCCTCGTTGCCATTGATGGTCTGAAAAGGAGGTCTCTCTCCAAATTTTAAGAGATGAACAATTTCATAAACAGGCTGTAGCTGCTGAATCACCTGAACATCCAGATATGCATCACAGGCAAAGCACCATACTGATAGATCACTGTCAAAATTTTAAAATAAAAATAAAAAAAATGCCTGCTTTTAAGAAAATGATATTTGTATAATAATTATACAATTATGTTAATAGATAGCCCCAAAAGAAAACCTGAAGCTGAGAGACAAACAATGGCCGGTCTCCTGATGATGATGAAGCATGTGCTTGTTTATGAAGCGGCTGCACAAGACATCCTTGCAGCTCAAACATAACCAATTCTCCGCAGGATGCTGGCACCTGAAATGCTGCTTAACATTAAAACATAATATTTAAAATACTGAAATACATCATTAACATGGTTTGACAAAAGTTCTATGTCAAGAATATATATATATATATATATATATATATATATATTAAAGATATGTTTCTCTC